ACCAATCACAATACAGGATTTGCCGAAGTCCACTTGAATGGTGATATTTTCTACTATTGTAGCTATGTATAAGGTCTCTAGTATCAACTAGATTCTAATACACGACGTACATTACCTTGTGTAGCTATGCCTGTAACATTAGTTAGCTTGCCCAAGTCGACTTGTATCCATTCCCCCACGGACTTTGACGCTGAGGCCCAGGCTGCCGCCGCTCCGTCTTGAACAAAATTTAATCTTGCTTTTGCGGGTGCATAGCCACTACCATAATTTGACGAGGCTGTGATATTTGAATCGGGAATCACTCCACTTTCCATTCCCAGAGGACCGATACTACACACTACAATTACACAAATCAAGTTAGATTTGTCAGTAAATTCAATAGACCTCTGAAGCTTTTTCGTASATGTTKGGGACAGAACATGGCGGATTTCTTTTGTTTTCTCTACAAACTAATCCCACAATGCATTGAAAATCAAGTAGTKACGTAAAAGGTTCAGAAGTCTATAGATGCTGATTCTMTCGAATTCATTTTTTCTCGCGCTTCTTAGTCAGTACAATTTGATCTTTTCTTGCGTGGCATTATAATACCCTTTTAAGTTTTCTGATCAGATTTTGCGTGAAATGCTTCCTAAACACAAAACTTACCAAGTTTGCACAGATCTTCAATCTTCAAAAGAAGAAGAAATTAAGTTAAAAACCAAGAGATAAATAAGAGTTATAGTAAGAAATAATAATGAAGTAATCAATGTAATTTTCCAGTTACCCTGCAAAGCAGCTCAGATAGGGAGAGTTTGGTTAGCAGAACCTCACTGTCAATTAGGCACTGTTTACATGAGATAGRGTGCCATTACGTGGTAGGGCTAACTCCTTTGTTTTCTTTTKCCTGGACGATTGAAAACAAAAGAGTTTGGCTCTACACCTAGGGGCACCTTATCTCATGCAAACAGGGCCTAAATAATACTCCAGTTTCGAGATCTCTATTTGTGCAACCTTAACCTCGAAAACATGTAAAATATATGGCAATCCCGAGATTATTTGCAGGCTAAAGAACGTGGACTTTGKCCTGGCGACGACAACGTTTTTTAAAATAGGTGTATAAATTTATGCTTGATTGAAGCAAAGTGACTGAGAACAAACTCCCTCAGGCATACTCTAATATTGTTTTTAATCATTAATATCACAGACACTTAACATCACAGACATGCGAAAGGAAAAAATATAATTAAAAACTCTTTTTGATTTCGAACAAATGCAGGAGTGAACTTACAAATATGCGATATAAAAAATAATATATTACAAAACCAAAGAAATTCTTCAGGGCTATTTTGAGAAAAAACGAGAAAAAAATTATATCTTGCTTTTCTGTGCCGCTTTTGAACATACTTATTAATGGGTCACAGTAATATCAAATTATAATTCCTGAAACTACAATTTACAGTAGAAGACTTGCTTTATTTATATCATAAAGCCGTGTAAGTATCGAGTAATTTCTCTGAGTAGTTTTGAAGATTTTTTTTTAGAAATAAATATATTTTTCAGAAAAATAAATAAATAAAAAATAAATTAAGAATAAAAATAAAAACAAGATAATCTTCACAAATTTTACAATATTTGTCAGGTCTGATGGCGATAAGAATTGTTTTTCTTTTTCTTTTTTTTTAATTTTCAATTTAATTTTTACAATATTTGTCAGGTCTGTTGGCGATAAGAATTGTTTTTATTTTTCTTTTTTTTTAATTTTCAATTTAATTTTTTTGTTTGGAAAATGACTTACAAAATTCGTTTTTAACTTACTTGAGCCAAAAGTATTAATTACTTGTAAAATTATTGTGTCGAGTTTCTGTCCAGCTCGGCTGGAGGTGAAGAAACTCAAGCCAGTTTGTGTTAAAAAAGTTTGAACTAGATTTGCGAGAAACAGGTCATTATGGCCACTGYAATGTACGCAAAGGAAATATTATTTATGGATGGGATTATTAACTATTATTATAGTGGCGAAGAAAACAACTTAGTCAAGATGAAAAAAAAAGTAATAAAACTTTGGCACCGTTTTTGAATTGATCTGAAAAACGTTATAACTAGAATTTGTCAGAGTCGTCTATTTAACTTTATTTGAGGAAAATCGATTGAGATTAAGATGTTTAAACGACTGTTTAAAAAAGTTCGGTATCCAAGGGAACGAACAGGTATAAAACACCTTAAATGTATGGCTGTGAGCGTGGTTAAAACGCCTTTTAAAATATTGAAAATTTTAACTGGTTATGTAATTGAAATAAAGCTTCACAACGATGACGTATACCCACTTAATTAACACTTCGCTTTTCTACGCCTTCATTTTGAACTTCTATCGATGTGACCGATGCAATTAACGAAAGACGATAAAAATCATAAATTGTAATAAACTAAAGTGTATTTCACCATAGTTAGTAGATTCACTAATTAATGAAGTCGACTATAAAGCGATTATGATAACCATTCTGCTGGTAGAAGAAATTAAATTGACGAGGTTACACTGCTTCTCGCAAATCGACCAAATCTAGTTCAAACTTTTTTATTATCCAAACTTCCTTGAGKTTCTTCACCTCAAGTTAAGCTGAACTTGAACTCAACACGCTAGCTTTATAAATAAATAATTACTTTTGGCTCAAGCAAGTTAAAAACGGATATTTTTGGCTTGAAAGTTGCGTAATCCCAGCGCGATGTTGGATGAAGATCACAAAACATTCCTTAGTTAGTTTCTATTGTTCGTTCATCCAACATGGCGGCGATAGCTTTGTTTTTTATTTCTCAGGGGATCATCGGTCAGGTGGTTGCAATCCATCCAAAGTATTCTTTCTCATAATAGTTAATAATCTCAAAAATAAATGATATTACCTTTGCGTACATTGCAGTGGCCATTATGAACTGTTTCTCGAAAATTTAGTTCAATTTTTTTTAATGAAAATTGCCTTGAGTTTCTTCACCTCCAGCCGAGCTGCACAGAAACTCGACACAATGATTTTAAAATAAATAAAACTCTTGGCTCAAGTAAGTTAAAAACGGATCTTTTAACTAAACTAAACAAGGTCATTTTCCAAACAAATAAAATTAAAAATTAAAAAAAATGATAATGAAAAATAAAGGCAACTCTTATCGCTAACAGACCTTATATATTATGATATTTGTAAAATTATCTTTTTTATTTTTATGCTTACTTCATTTTTTTAATTTATTTTTCTTGACACTTAAGATTTCAATTTGATCAAACGTCTCTCATCACTTCATTATATGTTTGGCTAATTTAAATATTAGTTGCATGATTTTGTGCAATGAAATAACAAATTGAAATTAAAAGTCGCTTTTTTAATACCAGTTCCCTAGGTAAAACATCAGTTGATATACTTAATAAATGTCGGTGGTCGGCGGAGCTTTTCCTCTAGAACCAGAGAATTCAAACAAATTCTACATTAATTCCTAAAATTTCACTCTGTTCAAAGCTATCAATAAATGTTCGACTTCAATTAATATCTGAAATAATCAGTTTTTCGTTAGTGAAAAGTTAAAAATATAGAAAATAACTAACGAAAGTCGACCAATTTCATAAAATTCAAAGTGTCAATTTCTTTATCGCTATTTTTATTGAAACAATTGTTTCAATAAAAATAGCGACAAAAAAATTGAAGATTTGAAGGAAATAAGTAAATCGTTTCACATATCGTTAATCGGTAATTGGTCATTTTTACTTTGATAAATTTGTTTRTTACCTTGGATTTTCTTATCTCGTGAAACCAAAATCGTTCCTTTGCGACCAATGTTGTTCCTGTTGTCCCACATCTACTCAGCTCACAAACGTGCTCGCCAGGTTGGTAAGACTGGTACTCATAGTTATACGAAGAGCACTGGTCATCATCGTGGCACGTCAAAGCACAGTCTAAACCGTTTTTCGTTTTAAAAGTTCGAAAAATGCGATTTGCAGTAACTAAGTGAAGAATACTTGAAGAACCTGAGCATCTGCTTGAGACTCCAGCATAAAGGCTCAASGACAAACAAACRAAATATCGAAAAAWCATTTCATGAAGTGAAACTGACCGCAGTAGCGGKTGAAAATGCAGGTTCCTTACYTCCCTGAACCTAAATTGATTTTTTTAAGAGCCCGTGGATGTAGCCTGCTGTTTTATATTAAAGAAAATATATCCAGTGCTTTCTAAATGAATAATTTATAAGCTTTACTGTTTGAATTGTGAAATTTGAAATGTCAAAATCGTGATATTATACGATTGTCAATGACGATTCCTTTTTACTTCTATTTTATACACTATTGAAGTGTGTATACATGTATTATTATGAAATATTCAAATATTATGATTTTAATGATGTTCCCTCCGAACGTTTTAATTTATCAGAGTTTTACTAACTCTTTTAAATTACAAATTGATAATAACAATTTGTAGAAGAGTACAACACCCTCGAGTATTTACGTCTTTATGCAATGATAAGAGCGATGATCCGTTTTCATAAAGATTTTTTTGGACGAAACTCTCAATTTGTCTCGGTTCAATGTTGTTATTCAAGTTTGGCGTCGATGTTTCTCGTTTTACACCTTGTCTGTGCACTGAAAACTCGTTACGCAAMGAAAACAGCTCACGAAAAACGGGAAACGCTGAAACTTAGTAAACAGAAAAAGAGTTTTTTTGGTATCTCTTTATTCTCGCCCTTTGAATWKTTCGTGTCTCGCATTACTCGGCCTTTAGAAAATCTAGCCAAGATATAAGATTTGATTATGAAATTTTATGGTCGACAAGCGTCAAACGTCCTGAAAAAGACAGCTGTATTTTGTGAAGATATAAATCTAAAAAAATSAACTTTAAAATGTTTTGTCTTGCCGTGGAACAGTAATCTAGAACTAGCTTGACGCCTTTTAAGGACAGTTTTTTGCGATTTTTGCAGTGCGATTGTCGCGCCATAATCGTCACTTTGCTATCGCGCAACTAAAATCGATCGTACGTGTAAACAGCCCTGCGATTGTTGCAGCGATGGAAAATCGCCACGAAGTTGCAGCCAAGCATGTACGAAACTCAGGCGATGGTCGCGCGACCGACAATCGCCGCGAGAATCGTTCTGCAAAAACCGCAAGTGTAAACGGGACTTWAGAAAATACTCATAAGCGCTTCCGTGAAGAAACACAAAATTAATTTATATCGCAATTTGTTGATTAACTTCAWTTCATTTGCATTTTAAATTTCCAACAAATGGCAAAAGCTCTCGAAATACAACTTAATGTCAACTTGTTTTCTACTAGAAGTGTTTAGCAGTATATTACCCTTTCGGATAAAAGTATATATTTATGAAATATAAAACGGCGCGCGTGTCTCTGTCCTCTGATATAAACA